GTTTTGCCTGTGCTCATGTTTAATGCTTTTTGGCTCTATGGTTAAGGTTCTGGGCTCCTGATCAGAGGGTTTTAAGCCCCAGTGCTGCCAAGCTGCCACCTCTTCGACTTCTTCGTCTTTGTATCAAACTAACTGTGCAGCTCATTTAAACAAGAATTCAGCCATTATTTTAGAATATCCATTCAGGCTCAGACCCATCATAAGTTTGACTGATATTACGACAGATATTCAGTTTGCTTTTTGCAAAAACAATAAAGACAAATCAAGAGGAAACATTTAGGTGTAATATAACACGGTGAGGAACACCCTAACAGTCACATAAAGCGGTCTTGTTCTCTATCCTGCATTCATCTCTATGAGTGTGTGTTGATGAACAGTGATCAACAGCTGCTGCAGCTCGCGGAGTGGACTTGTAGTGGAGTGTAAGCCCTGTGTGAGAGGGTTTTATTAGGGAACATACTCAGCTGATCCTCCTCTCAGGTCACCAACATGAAGCTGTTGTATGAACTGAAGTAATGAGCAGTTGTGTGGTGTTCACACTTTTATTAGCCTAGTGGGTACAATGCATAGTATGCATGTGGTATCTGTCTCCCATGAACCTCCATCCGTTTGAATTAAGGCAAAATGCAAAAATGACACCATAGACTGAATAGAAACGATGACCTCTGGCACTGAAAGGTTAGACAACGCACAAGTGACTCACCCTGCATTCTTTCTAACAGCCAGCAGGGGGCAACTTCTCCAGCTATGAAAACAATTCTGAACGTTTAGAAGTTTAGGAGAAAATTATTCCACTTTTCACTCAATTTGTCACCTTAGTAAACATTTTCCTAATGAGTTTAGGGCAAATGGTCCATATGTGTGCTTTTATTAACCCGAGGTTCCAAAGCGCTTTGTCTCTGCCACTGGTCTCAGTCGCTAATTTCAAGAATTGTTTTTAACACAAGATGATATTCTTTTTGTAAATTATCTTCCCATTTAGATTAAAATAGATGATAAGGCAGAGAATGTTTTAGAATGATCAAGATCCACGACGAGGCAGTTATGTCAGGTTTCCAAAAACCAAGACAACCAAAGTTCAACTCAAGGCTTCTAAACACTTCACAACCCCCCTCTTTTATATACATTCTACAAACAAGGCTTAACCATGAGCAGAAAAAAAATACAATCGTACAGGTTCCACTCTGAAGCGACATACATCACATCTGTAGAACTGGAAAAATGCCTCCATCAAGTCTTAAACAAGGAAGCTGCTTCTTTCCACCAATCACATTCCAGCCTTTTGTTGACTTACCTGCCTTTAAACCATTAGAACAACTGAAATCCTAATACAAGAGTATAGAGTACAGCCATAGAAAGTGACCTGTTGTCATGTGCCTTGTGAAAACATTTTCAGTAAGGTTTAAGAAGTTTCCAGTCAGAAAAGCTGTGTAAAGGTGATGGTTCAATAAAAAACAAAGATCTGATCATGTTTAAGAAACCACGTCATGGACACAGACTGTACACAGAGTTAAACATCGCACTGCATGTAGTAACAATAGACAAACGTCCCAGAAGGACCTGAAGACAAACATTGGCTTTTCATCAAATTTTGACCAAATTGCATCAGTCAGGCCCGGACATTAAAAGACATCTGTATCTGAATTTAAAGTTTATTTCCCTACACATCTATATTCACAGAACATTTCACACACAGTAACAAAATACAACAATGATACATGAAACATACAGAAACTCAGTCTGCTGCTACATCATGTGCCAAGGTTAACCAAATACTGTTAAAAAGTGACATTTAGTGTGAAACAAAAATGAAATATTTCAATATCAGGTGACAACAGTTTAGGTGTGATCAATCAGGCAGTTCAGGTCTGTGACATATCCACCTGTAATGACAGAAATCACACACAAGGTCATCAGTTGTAGAAGATGGAGTGGATGATTTTTCAGAAAAAAAATAACTTGAATCCTTGTAAAATGTATATGTTTATGGAAGTGAACTAAAATAGGGAATTGTGGGAGTCCTGCCCCTCTTGAATGAGGTTCAAATTACATTTTTCTAGTAATATACAAATAAATTATTTGTCCAAATAGAAAACAGGATCATTTTGTCATATCCTGGATCACAGCGCAACTTATTTAAATCATGAAGAACAATCAGGCCATTTTCTCAAGATGATGGGACAAGGATCATGTTAATGTAATAGAATGGTTGTTATTACGAAATAACATGATAATAAAGTTGTGCCTCAGAATAAAGTGAGCTCCATATAAATGTGCCATCAGATGCATAAAGGATTATTAATAATATGCAATTACAATCATTTTAAATTAAATACCTACCAGATCAGGTGCTGAATGTCTGAACACCATGTTGAGAAAATTTGTGGAAACAGACTAATATACAATAGATTAGCCTCCACTAGGAAACTGAATTTCGTCACCTTTATAAAATAATGACCTATGTCTTTTTGCCTAAATCATCTCGTCATGATTCTGGCCACTCTGGCAAAATCGTTTACATCCTCAGTTGAACAGATCACGTGATTCTACAACTGTAGACTAGTGTGACTTAAGCTCTTATATTTTGCATAAGTCAAAAGACAATGTGACTTAAGCAATTTTAAGCTTTTCAAGATGGCATCTGCTTAAAGAAGGACAAAAACCTACCGAGCCACTGACGTTATTTCCATGATTTAGGGCTCGTCCCCTATCGGTAAGTGATGAGGTTTACTACAATATAGAGTAAGCTATAAATATAGTATAGTAATAGTCATTTAGTCTTTTTATTCAGTCTTTTTAGTTAGCATTTTAGTCAGCAAAGTAGTCCATGAAGCTAGTATTTAGCAAAAGAGTGGAAAGGCTCAAGAATCTGTAGCTGTTGTAAATGAGAGGCTTTCTGTTCAAGTTTTTCTGTCTTTTCAAAGATCTACAGTTTTTGTTTAATTTTTTTTCACATTACATGATCTAATGAAGGGAGATTTTAATACTGTATTGTAGTCTAACAGCAAGAAATGATGTGTATAACTAATAAAAAACAAAGGATCCTCTCACTTAAATATAATAATTGTGATCATAACATAATTTGACCAGTATTATACTATGCCTTTTTCAATGTAATTTCATTCTATTTCTAAATTTTTCCTTTTTAAGTTTAGGTTTGCTAATCAGGAACGCCCTGCTCTTCTCTAATATAATTCCACAAACACTTTCTAAGCTTGTTTTGTTTGTTCAAGGGCATTACATTCGTTCCCTGTGCAGTTACATTATCAATAGATGTCTAATCCTGACACTAACTCTGACCTTAACCTGAATCTAAAATTTAAGTCTTAGCCATTACATTTAAAAGCTTACTTTGTACAGTCTTGATTTTAGTTCCTAAAAGTAAAGTTAGAAAAAAACAAACTGACATAAATATTGTACAACCCTGATTGTTTGACCTTTTCTCTGTTTGATTTCTGCAGTAAAGAGGAGAAGCTATGAAGTAATTTTCATCATCTGTGTGGCAGTACAAACACTGCAGGAGCCTTCAGAAACTCCTGCAGGTTAAATTGGGCCAACAAAACACTTTTTGGGCTGACTGACTCTTAAAGATTCCTTATAAATACACTGAACACACTCATAAGCCCATAAAGGTTACAAACAACCCTTAATGCAGTGTAGGAGTGTCGTGTCCAGGTTGACTGGTCAACCAGATCGCCATTGATCGGAAAATCTTCTTTCATTAGGAGTAAAGCAGCATGACTCGACTGATTCAAGAGTAGATATGACTTCAGTCAACCAAAACTTTCTTTGGATGAATACAGTTCTAATGCACTAGAGCAGAAAGCTGTGTTAAATTGGTGCTTCCTCAATTCAACACAATATCCAATGTTGGGCACATGTAATTCTCTAGTCTTTGAATGAAAGATCATTTAATTTTCTAACTTCCACAACACAAGTCAAGAGTTATAATCAGGCCAGTGCAGTATCTTAATACCTAAACTATGCTGCTCAACTTCATTACCCTCTAAACTACTTGGGACTAACTGTATCATGTTTAGAGCTCTTTCTGAATGAAGTTCACTGCTTCAGTAAAAGACCACTGTCAAACAGTTTGTTTAGCTTGTCTGCTATTTCCCCAGCGGCTCTCCAAACCATCAGTCTTATCAAACAGCTATTTATAAACTGACGGAGACTTGAGGAATTCACAATGTGACAGGGTCTGTCATCTGATGACAGCAGGCCTTCACACTGACCGGGTCTAATGGCTTTTGGAGGCTAAAATATGTCTACGAAGCTTTCACTCAAGCAAAGCAAAATTGTTTCAGATGCCGAACATAGATCAGCCACAGACAGTCTCACCCTTTTTAAGGAACTGATGCTGCTCCCACGGATCGCTGCCATCAGATCATCACGACTTGACCTCTGAGGGGGCGGCAGGCGGGAGGATTCGTCTCGTCTCTTCTGCATCGATGGCTTCAAGGAGTTCTTCAGGTCTTTTAGAATATCTGAACTCTCTTTTTCGTTTGCGCCGTTCTTGAGCTTCTTCAACTTAGGTTTCCTCTGATTTATCTGGACCTTTGTGCTGTTTGAGCATTCATGCTGTTTTACCATTTCAGCGATCTTCCTTGTTGGTGGATCTTGAGATAGAAGAGGGGTTTTTTTCTGATTTTCAACTTTGTGATGTGACGGTTTTTTAGGTGGTTTGTTTCCTGCTGTTGAATCACCACCCTGCCCGGGCACCTCTGTAGGGCTCTGCTCCTTCCTCTGTTGGAGCCTCCTCTGCCGCTGTTGGTCCTGGTTGCGCGTCAGAATGCCAGTTGCCGTCATCCTCGGGCCCGGGAGCTCAAACTGGTAGCCAAGCTTAAGCAGAGTGGTGTTTTCTCTCAGCAGCTGGACCATCTGCATCTCCACCTTCCCCCCACAGATGTGCCTCTGGTTGTGGAAGCGGAGTTCAACCAGTGTCCTGTTGTGCTTCAGCGCCGCCAGCAGAGCCAGGATGCCCTGACCAGATATGAAGTTGGACTCAATGTTGAGGTTTCTGATGGAGTGATTCTCACAGAGCATCTTAGAGACTGCGAAGGCAACCCGGTCATCAGCACGGGTGTTGGCAAGGCTGAAAACGTTGACATGAGTGTTTGTGCACAAGGCCTCCGCAAAACGTAGCAAGGTATCCTGAGAGATGTCTTCAATGTTATTGAGGTTGACCTCCGTCATTGCAGAGTCATCACTCAGAACCTGCTCCAGAGCTTTGTCGATAACAATGGGGTTCCCACTGGGTCTTTCAGGGATCACATCCAGGTTCTGGCTTGAGGTTTCAGTTGCTCTGGGTTCACTCCTCGAGCCTTTTGACAGGCCATTCTTCTGTACAATATTACTCCCTCGCAAAACCTCTTTTTTACACTCATCTTTCTTTTCCACTTGATCTTCTTTTGTGTCATTTTTGCCCAAAACACTCTTCCCCACTTTCTTCCCCTTGTGTGAAATCTTCTTCCTGTCGCTCTCCAGAGTCTTGCAGGCCTTGCTGGTGGTCACCATCCCCCTGCTCTTATCTGTATGTCTCTCCTGTAGATGACAAGACAGAAAATTAGGTCGACCCTGACATTTCCAACCTCTGCCTTCTAATTAAGAACCCTCCCCAATGCTCGCGGACAGTTATTAATGCTGGCATTTCTCACACGGTCGGTATTTTTAGACTGTTGTCCCGCAACTGGATACATGCGACACTTCTAAGGACTCTTTTCATCTTGGAAGCAAAAGGCTTCATATCAAAAGCACATATTCCATGAATCCTGTTACCTTTTACTCAACTTTTGGCGTAAATGGTCCAAAAACACAGGATCCCATCATGTAAATCAAAAATGTCTTTAAGTAGACTCTAGCAGCCACCAACATATCCGTTATAACGTCACTCTTCCACAATTAGCGTCTTTTTTTAAAAAATTTTTTCCAGAGAGACAGGCAGAGGAAGACCAGCAAATTGATGTTCATGTGAAAGATTGCTGGTGTGCCAAACTGAAACTCAGTCGGTTCTCTCATTCTTCTTCAAGAGTGACACACTTAGTGAATCTTAATTTGACAGGGCATTTAGTCTGGTCTCTCAAACCAGTTCAGATTTTTAACAAGCACGTTTCCCCTACATGTTTATAATCCACAATCATCTGGAAATCCAATATATTTCAATTAAATGTACTTGCTTTTTTTTTAGTATTATAGCATTTTGGTATTACAGCACCAACACACATTAACATTACTACATCCTATTCAATCTTGAACCTCTTTGTTTTCATTAAGTGGGCTCATCAGGTGGTTTATTACTATTAATAAATATCTAACTAATTTTCTAACCATCTCCAATGATTAAGCTTTTTTTTTGTAAAAATCTAAAATAGTAATAGTAATAAAAACAAAAAAACTATCTGATTTTGCGTAAGGACAGTACCTGACACTGCACTGGTAATGCAGATTTAACAATCTCATCTTGCCAGCATGAATGTGTCAAAAGACAAAAATGAGACACAGTGAAATAAATACCGCAAAGGTGGGTTTTGTATAGTTTCACAAAGGACCCATCATGTCTGTGCTTGTCCTTACCATGAACATAAAATGTGCTACTATGCACATTTATTTATATTGAATATTATATTTATATTATTTGATTATAATGCAGCCTTTGCTAATGTGTTCGAAAGCAGCTGCTTACTTCCACATTCGTCAGACCCACAGAAACATGATCATCCCTCTGGACTAATGTTTATTTCCAGCAGAAGACTGTACATCCCATATTCATACTCTGTTTATCTCTGATCTTCACCAGCTCCTTAGAAAGATATCTGGCTTTTTAGCTGCTACATGGTCCACTTTCCTCACCAGCTAATCTCTAGCTTTGTCTGCTGGATGTTTGGGACTTCATCAGAGCTCATAGCAACTGCCTGCTGGAAACAGTAGCATTTAACCAGACTTGTCTTTGTCTTAAAACCAAAACAAGAAGCTGCACATTGGAAAGGATTCTATTGGGGTTCTGAAACATGCAGTATGTCATGAATTTTGCAGTTTCAAAAGCAAATTTCAAGTCTCTGTATTCTAATTTCCAAAGAAGCTGGGGTGAAGTTTTCTCCCATGCTTGTAAATGTGTTATAGAAAGCTTCATGTTTCTCACCTGTCCAGGGTTGGATTCCACCTTTTCATCTTCCAGCTGCTTCTTGTTCTCATCGTCCCAGTACTTCAGCAGAGCATCCCTGTCAAACGTCCCGGTTGGGATTTTGGCGGTCTGGTCTTTTTGTCTGAGGCCAATGGGGATGTTATCGTCAGGGTCGAGGTCAGCCAGCTCCCTCTCAAGCTCCTGGAGCTCCTCAGAGGACAGCGTGGCCAGGAGCTCGTCTTCATCCACCTCCTCGTACTTCTTCAGCTCCCCGCGGTAGCCAAAGGTACTCATGGTGAAGTGCTGGCTTTCGGACTTTTCCAACGCTTGAACCTCTAACTTTAACTTTTCTTTTAGAAATCTGTTATTTCCTTGGGTTCTTGATTAACTTTGCCCTAGCTTGTTCTATCTTTTGTTTCTTGACTTGTCCTCCATCAGATTCCTTAACATCAGGGATGCTGGGGGTAAACAGTGAATCCACGTTCATCTAGCTGCCAGAGGACCCTGACAGGGAAAAAGGGGAGGGCCACCATGCCTCTGATGGTGCTGTCTTTATTTAGGGTGTTGGGTGGGGGGGTCAATGAGATAGGCTTACCACAGACATGTGAGCCCTCTGAATGGCCTGTGCTGGCACCTCATGAGTGACCCGTGCCTGGAAAGAAACAGAGGGAACAAAACACCATGGGGAGACAGAGATGAGCCTCTGCAGCATTATGTAACATGTCAGTACATAGAAACATGGCATAGCTGTGGTGTTGTCGTGGAAACACATGTTCTCCCTGAGGATGATAGGATTATGTGCAGTGGAGCGCCTGCTGGCACTGGAGAGGACCGTTAGTAGAAACTTATACTTTTTACACCAGCACACAGTGTAAAGCCGGGACAAACTGATCGAAGGTCAAGTCTTCTGAAAAAATCTAAACAGTTACAATTCCATCACAAGTGATCAGAAAATATCTGCTGAAGATTTTAATGAGAGATTAACAGATGCGAGGTTGCCAAGTGAGGTTGTCTAGTTAACTGCTATTTCTATGGTCAAAAATGAACTAAATTGACATTCAATTATATTATAATCTAATCACGATATAACAGTTTCCAGAGGCAAAGCAGGGATCCAATCAAAAGGGGTTTCTAGAAAACAAAGGAATTAAAAATAATTGTCGCATGTCAGCCTCGCAGCAAGAAGGTTGCCGGTTCGTGTCCCAGTGGGGGCACCGTAATCTTTCTGGGTGGAGTCTCCATGTTCTCCCCGTGCAGCGTGGGTTCTCTCGGGGTTCTCCAGCTTCCTCCCACAAGGTCCAAAAACACGTTGAGGTTAATTGGTGATTCTAAATTGTCCGTAGGTGTGAATGTGAGTGTTCTTGGTTGTCTGTCTGTAAGTGTAGCCCTGTGATAGACTGGCGACCTGTCCAGGGTGTCCCCTGCCTTCACCCTAAGTCAGCTGGGATAGGCACCAGCCCCCCGCGACCCTAGTGAGGATAAAGCGGTGTACAAATAATGGATGGATGGATGTTGCATGTCAGGGTGGTGTGGTAGAGCAGTGGCGAGCACTTTCACAGCTAGAAGCTCTAGAGTTTGAATTTGGGTTTGAATGTGAGCTGGGATCTTCCTGTGGGGAGTTTGCATTGTATCGCTGTGCCTTAATTAACTGGTGGTTCTAAATGGTTTGTAGGTGTGAGTGTGAGTGTGCACGCCTGTCTGCCTCTCTGTGATGGACTGGTGAACTATCCAGGTTTACCCTCCCTTCACCTTAAGTCAGCTGGGATAGACTCCAGCCCTCTAAAGGATAAGTGCAGGTTACCTGAGCAAACAAGATGTAAAAACAATCAATAGTAAATCTTGCAGGAACACTTGTATTTAAATGTAAATTTTTGCAAATGTTAATCGTAGAGTGGGTTGGCACCAAACGACAGAAGTGACAAAAACTCCTCAACGGGCAACCTGAGGCTGGCTCCAGGAGAAAGTCAATCCCCACAGACCCCCATGATTAAATGTCCAACTTCACAGCAGAAATAATCATGTTTACAGCCTGGTACAAAATATGGTTCTGGTCTCTAAAGCTAATTTCCCTCGTTCATAACAACTGCAAAGGGAGGAATTTTTGAAAAACTCACCTGTTTAAGTTGCATTAAGGTTTAGAAATAGTCATAATTTAGGGGATGTCTATTTTGAGTAACAGTTGGCTGCCATCACAGGACAGCTACACTCATGCTCTACCGCTTTGTTCATTTTTTGGTTAGCCAGGAGTTAGGAGTAGTCAGATAAACAGAATCACCACACAGTCATATAAAACTGCTCTACGGAAAACCTACAAGTTATTTCACAGAGAGTTCGTCCATCTATACAGTCACATTCTCCTCACCAGCTGGTCTGGCTCATTTATGGCTGTCAGCTTTGAGCCTATTTGGGTAAAAGGGAGGTTATGGGTTTGCAGAATTTCAATCTTTTTCTCTGTAGTTCGTTTGTAACCCGTCTAATCGCCCCTGGACTTGCTTGTTGCCAGATCTTGTGGTTTATTGTTTGGTTGCCAAGACAGCAATCAGAGCAGTGCAACAACATGCATCCGTCCCCGAGCATGTACAACAAACCTGTCGCATCAGGTTACATGTCTGAGGTGAAAAGACTGTGAGTAACATAACACTGCTCTCATCCTAAATCTGTACTAAATTTGAACTTTGACCAGGATTACTGCTGATTAGCACCAGTCACCCAGGCTTTTACTCCAGCCTGAGAGGGGGAACAGGTTCAGTTACAAAACAAAACCTCAAACGAGGGAAATCCTGACAAGCATTTACTCTTATTGCATCAGATGTTCATCCCCACAGATACATCACTGGTTTTGTTTCTATATAACTAAGTCAATGTCCAAGTTAGCACGCAAGTTTCTTGTTTTATATTCTAATGATACAACAGTTTGGGTGTTCCCTTTGCCCTACTGCTTCTAAGTGGCCAAAAATGCAATTAAGGGAACCTTCACCTTTGTTCATTTGAATTCAGACAGATACAATCAGTTTGTCAGAGCTGAGGTCTTCCAATATGTCTTCTAGATAGACAGTTATGGCAGCTCCATCCCGTGGTGTATCATACAGACACAATAGTCTGTACGTGTTTTGTTTTAACACATTAACACACCTGCTGGCTACAGCTGCCACACATCTGATTTGACTCCCAGCTGGTGTCAACAGTTTGGAGGTTGTTCAAACAATGTGACCTCTTTCTGTTATCAGGTTCTCGGGTTACCTGCCAGAATGTGGAGCCACGTTGCTGTTGTTGTTGTTTCTGAAGGTCAGAGGGTTAAATTTAGAGTCGATCTGTTTTCACTATCAGTCAGCTAGATGTAGCGGATCACACCTCCTCGCTGTGTTCACTGTTGGTGTGGCTAGACTGTCTATAGGGATGGATGTAGTAAGGTGTGACGACATGCATTGCTTTGCATTGGAGCTAGTTTGAAGGACAGAGTTGCAGCTTATGCGAGGCGCCATCTTTTTGGAGTCAAGACCTCCTTAATAAGGAGTGCAGGTTGCTTCGGTCCACACTCTGGAAACACGCCCCACCACCTGGAACTAAAACAACACTAGCTTTCTGTGAACAGCGACTGGTCTACGCATGGTTATAGTTAGCCACTTTGACTACATTGTGCTAATGAGGCAAGTTTTGTAACCCAGTACTAACATAGAGGAACAGAAACTCCAATAGTCAGAGACAGGTAAGTCTAAGAGGTGGACATCACATCGTTATAATCCTTTAAATCTTAATAACAGATTCATTGTTACAAAGATGGCTACCAGTAGCCTTTTAGAGGGCTCAAGTTTAGAGACTGAGACCATGATGACTTTATGAAAAAATACTTTCTATTTCTTCAGACCCTTCCTCTGACCCTTTTTAACGCTGGAGCCATGGATTGCGTTGTGCATGTCGTGGCTGTTGGTGTCATTTCCTCTTAAAGCCAATTAATGTTTCATCCACCCAAATCTGTGAGGGTGCCCGTGGAACCACACGCAGCCCAAAATGTGTGACGACATGGACTGTCTGACTGCACATGTACCAGGGAAACAAGTGGTGCTTAAAACAAATGCTTGTAATGAGAGGAGGCAGTACAAGGAGATTCAGTTATCCACACTTAATAAGCTATAATTCATCATTAAAAGAGTTGTAATTGAAGTAGTTATTGCAGGACTTTGGAGGAGCTTTGATTTGTACATCCTTTCTCTGGATGGTAACCAAACACAGTCCAAAATTCTCCAGAAATCCTGTACTATAGCCATTCACTGTGCATAACACACCTTGGGAACAATCACATCACCATATCCTACAAAAAGTGCAAAGTCAAAGCATTTCAGAGACATTCATGGGTGTAGCAGTGAATTATTTACAGTAGATAGTGATCAGAACACCCCCAGTTTGAAGAAGTAGATAGAAGGACCAGGATAAAGCTAAGCAATGTGGACAAAGTAAGCAGTAAAACATATTTTAGCCATCAAAAAAAAAAAGAACCAGCTAAACAAATTGGTGTCAGTGACGTGTACGCAATATTTTCCATTTCCCTGTCAGAAAGGACTGTCTAACCACAAAATGTTGAAAATATTCAACATATAGCACACGCTTAACACAGTGGACCTTAGTTTTATACTTAGCTAAAACATGTTTTGTTGCTGACCCACTCCACTTTATTGCTTCTGTGTTGGTATCTCGTACAGCTCTGCCTCCAAGCACCCAAACCATATTTTTGAAAGTCAATGTGTTTATGTGCAGTTCCTCCAGCGTTCACTAGATGGGGAAAAAACCTCAACTCTGTCCTAACAGAGAAGTTTCTTTGAAGAGCGCTGTTGGTCTGGCCGTCCACCATTTTTTGTCCAGACTGAAATATCTCAACAGCTGATGGATGGGTTACTTTAAAACTGAATACAAACACTGATAGCAGAGGAAATTCTAAATACCTTGTTGGTTGTTTATTGTTTTTTTTTAAAAATCTGGCACCACCAGTTTTGATTAACCCAGTGAAACTCCTCCACATCAACCATGGACTGGTACAAAATCTAGTGGACACATTCATGGATTCCACACAATGTATGTGGAAAACTTTAATAAAATACAGTAGAAATACATTTACAACTCTTACAAATGTGACAGTAATATCTTATTTCTAGGACTGATGATACTGCAAATTCCCAAATGGAACTTGAAACCCATGTCTCACTTTGCTATAGGCTCTTTTAAAAAACATTAATACGGCTTTTATTCAGTTATTAATGATGACAGTTTCCACTTTGTTGTTGTTGTTTTTTTAGGATGGTTAAACTGTTGTCAAGTAAAGTCAACACATCCATTATTTGTTAAATATGAAGAACTCTTCAGCACCAGAGGGATTATGCCCTTGGAATTGCTGGAAGGTCGATAGTTTTTACTGACAATAACGCTTGAAAAGTCAGCAGAGTAGAAGCCCTGGGATAGCTTTATGCCTGCCAGTATTTGCAGCCTTTATTTGAGAATTTACAACTCATCAGAACCCTAACTTCCTGACTGGGCTGGACATCACTGACTGTCTTATAGTTCTACAAACAGAGCTGCAGCTAAAAAGGTTCCAGACTTTAACTTTTGAGTCCCAGAAATCTGAGTTGAAACCCATCAATGACTAACTTAAAATGCTTTGTGGTTACTTTGTGCAAAGCTGGCACAGTAATAATTTTAGTTAATGCCCTTCCGAAATACTTTTAAAGAACATTTTGCAGTCATACAGTACAAACTGGGCTTGTATCTATCAAAATGCTTTGGCTTTAACATACTTGGAAAGATTAAAAGCTATTTTTCACATTTCTGACTTGTGTTTTCCTGCTCAGGAGAGATTGTACAATAGCATTGGTCATAATTACCACGTGGCATTCAGAATAGGATGTTTTAATCAGATTAAACATTTTATAGAATACTACACCACGTTGTAGTTTTTAACAGGGTTGTCAAGACAAGAACAACATTTTCATTTGATGTGGAATCATCTTTCATGTTTTATCCTTCAATATGATTTCGCTGATGTATGCCAGCAACAAAACTTTCCTGTTTGTTTCTTTTGTTTTGTACTTCAGTTTTTCTTTTACTTGTTGTTAATTTCACATGTTGTAATCATCAAAAACATCAACTCTGTGTGGAACCATGAGGAGACTTTAACCTTCCTCACAATAATAGATCAAACAGAGGTGCCACATTTTCATCATGGTGCTCCTAAATACATGTCCTCTTTTGTTGCAATGTTTTAATCACACCTGACTGAGAATTCACACCAACAATAGTTAGAGGTAAATGTGCAGCAACTGCAGATTCTCTTTCCTTTTTATAAGGATAAAGTAAGGGGCAGGTGACAAGTAAATCCTTGTGTTTTCCGGCTGCTCCTGCTCTGAACAATTGTTTAACTAGTGATCACTTAAAAGTTGCTCTCAAAGGTTGATGTTTCTCCTAAATGTGTAAAGAAGAAAGTAGCTTGATTAATGTATGTCATTTTTGATGTTTAGTAAATAATTATTTTGTTCCAGACTTCGTTCTTTGAAGCATTTTCAGTGTAATTCTTGTAAGTTTAGCAAATACAGGACCTATAACATAAATAGAAAAAAAGCACAGTCATTGCTGAAGCTTAAGACTCTGTAGATCTCAGAGAAATCCTCCTCCCTCAGTCTTCCCTGCAGATTATTTTGGTGTATAAGTCGTTCTCTGTGAACAGCAGGTAGTCCTTCAGCCTGTTGGGCAGCTGAATGGACTTCAGAGCACTGCAGCTCAGATGTTTCTTGATCACCACTCTGCTCAGGTGGCACAGAGAGCGAGGGTTACCTGGATCACAGAAAACAGCAGTTTGTATCAAGATGACAGGAAACCTTGTGCCCTACTCATAAAGCAGAAAGAGCAGGTACGTCTTCTGCTTCTGATAAGAAACAGCAACTCTATAATCTCATTAACTCACAAGTGGTCCTGTGAATGTGAGCCCACTCTTTGTGTTTCTTCAGCATCTTGGTCAGTTTGCCACAGAGAGAAACCTGGCCGACGTAGTCGAGGAGGATGGACACGACTCTACCCACCAGGTTTACCAGCCAGGAAACGCTGATGAAATCACAAAACTTGATGACAGAAGAGATTCAGTTAACACAAGCAGGTAGATAAACTGCTTATGAGTTGCATGATGCCATGATTTTTAATTTTCTATGTTATAATTTACAAATAATATAAACTTACAGCAACTTTTTCCTCTTGATGCTGTGAGCATCCAGACGCACTCAGGTCCTCCCAGCTGTCATCATGGTCGCAAAGGAAACACTTCTCTGCATCATAGCCGTTGTTGAGCAGCAGCCTCATCATCACCTCGTCCTTCAGGCAGTATTGGAGCGCCGTGGGAAACACAGTGTCGTTCACCACTGTGAAGTAGCAGTTCACGTCTGCTCCTGCTGCCAGCAGCAGCTTCACAATCTCATACCGGCTGGATCTGACTGCCACCAGGAGGCAGCGCAACAAGTCCAGGTCAGGTTTGGCTCCCGACTTCAACAGCATCTCGGTACATGTAGCATCCCCATTCGAGACTGCAAAGTACAGTGGGCTCCTCCTCATGTCTCCATAGTTGTCAGAGATGTAAGGAGCTAACAGTGCATTGACATCAAAACCTTTCTGTAGCAGGAGCTCCAGGCAGTGGGCATGGCCTCCGTCCGCAGCAGAGTGGACGGGGCTTTGACCGGACAGCCGCAGGGCCCGTCGAGTGGTGATGGGGATCAAAATCCTTAACGCTCTGCGAAAGACAAAGACCAGAATAATCTGAACGGAGTCAGAAACTAAGCGCGAGACTGAACTTTTAAAGTCCCTCTACAGTCATTGTTTAAAGTAGTAAAAGCTTAATGTAACAAAGTTAGATATTTAGAAATGTTTCCCTCAAAATAATCCCTTCATAACATAGAAGGTAACCAATAAAGTTTAGTTTCCCTCTCTTGATCTGGTTATTTTTTATTAGTGGTCAACTGTTTGTTGTTCACCAAGCCTCCATCCTTCCTCCTGATGGTAATACTAGTGATGCCCAATACTTCCATTTTCAAATGAGGAGATCCGCAGGGCATTGTGTGAGGTGTTCATGTTTGCCCATTTGGCCCCTCCACCCCTCAATCAAGCACCTACTTTTTTGGCTCTAAACCTTGTTTCATGCCTACTTTTCTTTCTTTTTATTTGACAAAAGTCTTGTTGATCACCAGTTCAACGTTACACATCAGTTCTGTAACACTGACCAACTCACAGGTAGTGTCCTTCATATGCTGCTCTGTGGATGGGCAGCTGGGAGCTCAGGTTGTGGATGTTGGGATTTGCTCCATGCTGCAGCAGGATGTCAATACAGTCTGGACTACCTGAACCTGCAGCGTCGTATAGGACGCTGTCACCATTGGGTGCCTGGGCGTTTACATCAGCACCTAAATGCAAAAAATACATTTGAGCGGGCGCACAAAGTTGTATAATGTCATTGTCAAGCCTGGGATAACAACCCTGCTGATGCCATAGGGATGTTGTTCAGGTTGTGTTGGCTTTTACAACAGAAACCCCACTTTAAACACTAAGTGGTAGGAATCCAACTGCTTTATGGGAATGCAGCAGAAAATTAATAGTATTCTACCAAGAATCCTGTTTTGATAAACTGTAGATCAATCATCAAAGTATGAAAATAATCAAAGATGGAGGAGGGTATTTTTACATATGATTGAATGTCTGTTAGATTCAAGCCAGACTGGATCACACTATGCTGATTACACCTGTTGGTGCCTGTATTCCGCAGTTATAAATCCAGTGTCTGTGGTGACATTCAATCATTGGTACACCTGTATGTCGCCTAGTAAAAATAATAATTGAAACCTAAATAAACTTGCGAAAGTCCTTGCTTGATCTAAAGCTGCATTGACAATTGGCAAGTTATGAACAGGCAAAGTTTTTAGCGAACACAACAGAGAAAGGTTGCAGAAACCTTGTCTGAAGTGAGAGAAATAATTCAACCAAGTAAGATTATGAAGTGGGGAGGCTTGTTATCAAAAGATAATGACACATGTAAGAGCTGATCACCAGAAATATGTTTATAGGAAATAGAAATCATGGACAGACAGGCACTGTATTGTTGGGATCTTAGCACACTAGCAATGGTGGAAAGTAACTAATTACAGACAGCTGAAGAACTAAATTAGATCTTCCACATTCATCACCAGCCAGCTTGGTCTTTAGCACCTGGTGTACAGAGAGTTCATCGGAGCTTTTGGATGAAAACAACTGCTGCTGCTTTAAATAATAAAAATAAATTCGACCGTGAATGTGCTGTAAAACCAAAACTAGGATCTCAAAGAGGCTCCATAAAGTAGCAAAGCAGTTCAAATTACAGACTTATTTGATGCATTGTTAACCCTAGAATATGAATTACTGGAGCTGCAATATAACTTCTGTGAGTTATTGAGTTCAGTGGAAAATGTCAGTGTTAGTGTTTCACCGTGTTTAATGAGGAGCTCCAGGACTTCAGGGTGACTGTACTCTGCAGCGATGCCCAGAGGAGTCACTCCATGCTGGTCTGTCTCTGTAACCTGACCTCCGTTCAGTAGCAGGAGCTCCATGATGTGAACACAGCCAGTCCTGGAGGCCTCATGCATGGCCGTCCACTTTTTCAGACACAGCTGCTTCACCCGAGCTCCCTGAGCTATCAGACTGGAAACCATATGATAGGATCCAGCTCTGACTGCTGCAGAGACAGGAGAGGAGAAGGAACTGACGCTGTGTGTGGGGCAAACTGCTTACATTATTTTTCTCATTGTCTACTGTGAAGGACAAAATGGGACAAAGTGTTGCTGAAAACAGTGTTCTGACCTAAAAGCAGAGGGGATTCATTCTTGCTGTTGGTGGTATGAGGAGAAGCTCCATGGTCCAGTAGCATCTTGACATTTTCCACAAAACCAGCTTTCACTGCTGATGTCAGGAAGGTCTCACCCTCCAAAGTCTTCTCCTCCAGACTCAGCCTGAAAGACGCTGAAAGACACAGTAAAAATTGTACTTTATTTAATTGAATTTACCTCAGGACACAAATATCAGCCAGCAAACACTGACTTGTATGAAATTGTCAGAGAAACAACAAATATTTAAAACCTGTAAAGGACAGCAGACAGTAAGACAGTGGAAGCGTATGTACACAATACCATGAGCAGTGAATAATACACTCTGAACAGTTTGTAGCATGCATAAGCCTTGATTACACTCCTTTGCAAATATAGAATAGAATAGAATAGACTCCATGCCATGCATGTGCTGTAGGTCATCCTTTATGAATTCTTCTGATATGCTATCGTGAACTCACTGTGAGCAGAACAGGTGGACACAATGGCTCGACACAGAAAGGTTTCAGGCAAAAGACAGGTTTATTAACAGGCACGGGTTGGTAACAGGTGGTCCATCCAAACAGGCAGAGGTATCCAAAAACGGCAGGCAAAAGGCAAGGTCGAAGGCAGAAAAACGAGGTCCTAACAAGACAGACTATGACTATGATCATGCTGGGACGAAGACCGTGAAGTACAATGAACTGGCAATGAGACTGTGAGACACACAAGGTAACATAAGGTAATGAGGGGAGATGGGAAACGGGTGAGGGAAAGCCATCAGGAAGCAGGTATGAGGAGACGGGTACAGGAAGTAAACTAGGACAGAGACAACCGGTTAGTGATTTCAGATTATAACAGGAAAGACAAGACATAAAATGTGCACACATGAACAGGAACTTGACAGACATGACATATGCATTCACACCACTGCTCTTCTACAGTCGTTGCCACATGGACGTTCAGTGTGAACCCAAATTTTGGGCTGCTTAAGGATATCTGTGGATGGGTCCATGCAGACTTTTTACAAACTTGGGCAGATAATGATATTTACATCACACCGAACTTCATGCTCTTACAAAAAGTATAACACAGGCCCTAAGCTTTGATTAGCTTCACTTGCGGTAATACACAGCCAGCTGTGGACACCACAGATGCATAGTTGTGTTGTTACACTACTCTCTAGGCTGCTTGGAGGCTTCTTAGTGGAATCTGTTCCAGACATATGCAAAAGGTCTGTTCTATGTTTTCCATGCATGCACGCTATTGACCTTGTAATGTGGTCACTATACGGACAAATTTTGGACTGTATTGACTTCTGCTGAGGTGTCTTGCGGATTTATGGAGATGAGGAAAGTTATGTCACACAGACGCGAGAAGACCCTCCCGTAACTGTGAATAAAGCTGTAACACTGACCTTAGGGGGTCCTTGTGTCCTAGAGGTTTACAGCAAGTCCTACAGCATTTATAGCTACACAACAACTATGCATCCAGGAGAGCTTAATTGAGGCTTAAGGCGTTGATCATGCAGTTTCAGTTGGAGTTGTTGTGAAAGTGTGCATTAACCCAAAACAACTGCTCTGTTTACTTCTGACTGCCTCGTAAAATAAAAGTTTGGACTTCTTACCCACCGTACAGCACCATCTCCAGGACGGGGACTAGAGGCTGGACAGCTGCTCTATGCAGAGGATACCAGCCGAGCTCATCCACCTGACTGAAGGCAGCTGGCAATTCACAGAGTTCCTGCAGAGCCAGCAGGTCACCTGCAGAGACAGTTTAAGTCAGTTGTTGTTTTTTTATTTGCCTTTCCCACAGATGGCTATTTTTTGTTTTTTATCTTTAGCTCACTTCAGTGATCATTTTATACACTTGTTTTGGCACAAAACAATGAAATGTGTGGTTGACCATGTGCACGGGGACTTTTTACCTTGTTTGATGGCCCCTGCAAGCCTCAGAGCTTCACTTTTAAATGTAACAGGAAGATGGTGTCCTATCTGACAGGATTCCTGAATTATCATCTGAACATCATGGTCCAGAAGTTCGTCTTCATCCATGTCATCTGCTATGTCCGTCCCTCTAACACCAAGCAGGTGCAGACACACAAAGTTCAACTTCACAGAACTTCACTTCCTTCACTTCTAACAAGCAGATCCACTGACTTTGGCAATGAACTGATCTTTGTCTGAACCTTGGGACTCGTAGCATTTAGTGTGCAAGTGGGACACAGCTCTAGAGTCTTATTGAGTTGGTCGGTGTTTGATTACAGAGACACTTTGAGCAGCTGAGGTCAAATGGAATTTTGTTTGGAATAAGCTGCTTGTCCTACATCCAAAGTAAATTATTTCTCTCTCTTGAGCTCTTATCTGCTCCTGTCATTTGTATTTTACAGACTCTGACCCTTGAACTCTTTACGATTTATCAGATAAAACATTGGCAATCTGATCTTAGTGATTACACAACTCGATCTCTTCTATATCACTCTGTTTAAGCGTATCTTCGATATGAAGCTGAAGCATAGCAAAGTTTGTCATCCTCACCTGCGAAACGTTTCAATGTTGGAGCTACAGGACGAAGCAGCAGCAGCAGCAATACAGTGTTTGTGTCACTGCTGAACTGCTTCCCACTCTCTCACACACACATACACACACACACACACACACACACACACACACACACACACACATAACACACAGAAACACTCGGCCATCTATTTATAGTTGTCACCTGTTCCAGTGTGCAACATGCAGGCCGTTCTACAACATGTCATGGAGTGTAATGTCACTCTGCGTACACTTTCAACAGCTAATGACAAACAATACTGAGCCGGCCAGTTGTATGAATATTTATTGTGTCATTATGATTCATCAGAGAGCTGCAATGTTTTCCCTTCAGAGGAGATCAATCCACCATGTGTGCAAACGCAGCAAGACAACAAATCAATGAGAACCTGCTGAAATAATGAAGAGGCATGAAGAATGAGACAAGCGATGGCTTCTCCTCCACCTGCCTAAGCTTTGCAGCTCTGATCTTTGACCTTGTAGATGTTAATTAGCATGTTGAGCTCAGCCAGTCTGAAGGCTTCAGCAGTTATGCGCACTTTTGTCTAATAACATCCTATTAATGCAGGTAGTCGGAAATGCTTTTTTTTCCCTCCAGGAAATTCAAAATAAAGGACATCCTTTATATTTAGTGAATTCAAAGTGCTATAGGAAAAGTTACATTTCATACCATCCATCCATTCGTTTTCTATATCCTGTGGAGGTTTGCAGGGACTGAAAGGCATAATACATACTAAATAATTGAATTATCATTGCTTTTTTGTTTAAATCTGTGTTACGACTGGCTCTTAGGCCGCAACAAAGGAGGAAACACACAGGTGGATTCAGCTGTAACATAAGGCTATTTATTGAAACAAAGTAGAGTCGTGAGGTGTGATTGTGAGCGTCAGTGGTGTGCGAGGGTGTATGAGTGCAGTGATTGAGGTGCATGTTGTCAGCATGAAACAAACAAAAAGAGACAAACACAGGCGCATGGCTGGCTGGGTAAGAGAGAAGAGAGCGGGATCTGGCACAGCAGACCGGTTTATATAGTCAGTGAGATTGGCCTGGTGCACCAGGTTAGCAGATTGGAGGCTCCGCCCAGCCAGAAACCTGCAAGACAAGAGTGAGAGAAGACGGAGGCTCTGGGGCCGTAACAATCTGTAAGAAAAACATGGGGACAGCACCAACTTCCATCATCATGTTCTACTTTAGAAGCATTGGGTAAAGGACATGCAACAATTAGCGTTGTTCAGCCCTGAGAGTGAATATTTCCAATGTAAAACGAAACATTTCTTTATCTGGCTAACAAATTAAACAGTCTTGAGATTTCAAACATTTCTGTTATCTTCAACATATAGCATCCATCCATCCATTATCTATACACCATTTAAGCCTCACTAGGGTCACGGGGGGCTGGAGTCTATCCCAGCCGACCCAGGGCGAAGGCAGGGGACACCCTGGACAGGTCACCAGTCTATCACAGGGCCACACCCAGAGACAGACAACCAAGCACACTCACATTCACACCTACAGACAATGTAGAATCACCAATTAACCTCAACATGATTCTGGACCTTGTGGGAGGAAGCCGGAGAACCCGGAGAGAACCCACGCTGCACGGAGAGAACATGCAAACTCCAAGCGAAAAGATCCTGGGTGTCCTCACTGGGATGCAAACCGGCGACCTTCTTGCTGACAGGTAACGATGCTAACCACCACGCCACCTTGCAACCCAACATGTAGCATGTAAAATGTCAAACCAGCAATGTGTTATCTGTATCTCAGTGCCTTATGTTTTCTTGTCTGTGACTTTCAGTCCCAAACCCAGTGTGTTCTCTGAAGATGAGAGAAATGTATACCACACCAGACACGTGCTTCTGCAAGTGCTTGTACACTAATGAGAGCATAGTGCTCCATATTGCTCCTGATGGTCAAGTATCCCTACTGCCTGTATCTGCGAGTGTGTGAGGGTCAGCATGGGGTCACATCTGTCATTTGCAAAAGTCCACTTGGATCCCTTTGGGTGCATCCCACACTTTGTGTAAGTGCAGCCACTGCTCTACAAGGGCAGCAATTTGCATGTGCAGAATATGTAGACACCAGTTTACTATATATGTATGGAATGAGTCTTGCAAGTGGACTACAAAGTAGTATAATAACAACTAGGCGTCCATGGCGTCTGCAGCTGTCTGTTTGCACATATGTATGGGAGGACCAGACTTATGTGGGCATTCAGATCAACTTCTGCCCTGCTGTAAGCCTTGATTATAGTCCCTTGCAGAGATGCACACAGACAGCTGCAGACCCCACAGGCACTTAGTTTTTGGTAATAGGCCAGTGTTAAACATTCCACATGAATGCATACAAGAGGGTCCTGACTATACGCATTACTGTAACAAAGTAGCACACATTTCAGGCTGCACGCATACTTTCACAGAGGACTTGGGGTAGTCTGACTTAGTGGATGTAGGTTTTAGGTATAAACCTGCTATTGGCCGATTATTTCAGTCAGAATTCTACCCCCTGTCCACTATCCATGTTTTACCATTTAGTGCAGTATGGCAGCTCAGCTTGTTTTTTTGTGGTGCGTTATTAGTTCTCATCTCTCTGCATGCAAATGCTCCACTTGTGGTGATCTGAGTTTTTGCGCTATTGTTGTGAAGCTTTGTTAGGTGTATGTCTCAGTTGTTTTTGTGGCTGCGAGTGTTTTTCAGGCTGGGTGGGGTTTGTGGACGGGAGAGGTCTCACTCACTTTCTCCCACACCTGAGGTTTATCAGTAATCAGCGCTGGATAAAGCCTGCCTCCACCTGTGCTCCAGCGCCAGTGGATTATTCTCCCTCGAGGGGTAATCGGTCAGCATGTTTGCTTAGAGGAGATATGCTTTGAGAATCTCGCTTTGTCTTACTGTTATCTTTGTCTGTGTTTGCTACCAGAACCTCCCCGACAGACCGATGTGTTCCCTGGCTCAGCTTCTGCAGCCGAGCTCCAGCCCTCAGCCGTTCTGCTTTCCCTGTCCCTCGTGGAACCTCTCCCGGATTTCCCTCCCTCATTCGGCTTCCCTTGCGTGCTTCCCGGTGGCCCTTTGTTTCCCTTGTTTCCCTGCAGCCTGATTAAATCCCTCTTTTCTAACCACCTATCCTTGTGTTGCATTTTTGGATCCCTGCTAGACTGAACCCTAACACCACCTCAAAAATTCCACTTGTCACTATTTTGAGGGACCCACACCCAACACCCAAGCTGCATCCTTGTCTTAGCTCCGCCCATGACAGCTTTGATTGGTGTAAAGAAATACAAGCGCGCTAGAGCCAGAGGTTTTTGAGGTTTTTTTCCCCCTTATAGCGGTACACCCAGACCGTTATGCACCATAGAATGGGCTGGCAAAGCTGTGACTAGTCCTCTGGAGACATCACACTGGTCCTCTGTGTACGATGAAATATAAAATTCGGTTTAAATTCTTAGATTTTTACTCTTCACAGATGACAAAAACCATTGGACGGCGGTATCAGGGTAGCAACGATGCTATCTTTAATCATGATGATAATGAAGCAAACCACACAGAAACATTAGAAGCTAATGTTGAAGGGATGTGAACTGTGTTTGACTGGCCACCGCAGCACCCAGTTAATAAATAATGTCACATAGCGACAAAAAGGTTTTTAGCCACCTTGCACTTTACAACTGGTCTAATCGTTAAGCTTACTCTTACTTTGGCACCATCTGGGGATTGTATTGAGGATGGCTCTTAATAGGTTGTATTTATTCCAGCATTCTACTAGCCTCCCCTTAAATATTTAAAAAGACTTTTTCATTAGTAAGTCTCATAGATAGATCAAAACTAACAATGTGTTAATCTATCGCTTAATGCTTCCTGACTTCCTTCCTGTCTGCTCGCCTAGTGCAGTGGTTTCTATTGAAGACATAAAACACCTCACAAAGATGTATTTCCATTTCATTTTTATTTATTTAAAAAGTCCAGTATTTCCAGAAACAACTGGTTCTGTAGTATTTTGTCAAATGTTAATACAACAGGAGGACAGATTGCATTTGTTGGGGACTAGTTTCAGCAGCAGACTAATACACATCTGGTGTTGTACAGACTATTTGAACAGCAGAACAGTGTATGTGGGATCAGTTCAAAAGCAGCGATGACGTGTGTGTTCATGATAAGGATGATCATGATGCAAAAGATGTGAACATGAGAACATGTCATAAGATGTGTCAACCTTTGGAGACGTACACAATGCTTGTTGGCAGGATGCATTACATAAACCCTCCTGGTATGTATTTGAATGAGCATTTTTCTGTAAAAACACATTTAGCATACATTTATTCATAACAGAAAACTAACAATTACTATTATCAAAAGTATTGAGGAAGAAATATTATCAAAACAAGAGATCTAAAAAATAGTTACATTTGTCTGAAACAAGCAGAACTCCTGCAGGTAATCTGCAGATCTTCACATGATGCATTCAGGGTCCTGGCTGTAGAGATCGAGATCCTCATACAGTATAAAACGCTTCAGTCTGGGAGGGAACACTTGTGAGTTCATGATTTCAGGGTTGTTGAGTTTCTTCAGAGTCAAAAGCTTCCTGATCTCCAGTCTACAGAGGTGCCCGAGGTAGCGAGGACTCCCTGGAGAATAAAGTTTACAACGTTATGTTACTTTATCTGTAATTTCTGTAATAGAAAAACTGAAGCAAGAAGAAATAACAGAATGACAGAAAATGGGGAGGAAGTATTGAACAACTACAAGCAAGGAAAAGACTTAAAATGGTGGATTCGTCTACAGCAGGGGTGTGCAATCCTGGTCCTCGAGGGCCACAATCCTGCATGTTTTAGATGTTTCCCTTTTCCAACACACTTGATTCAAATGATCAGGATGGTTATCAGGCTTCTGCAGAGTTTGATGATGAGCTGATCATTTGAATCAGGTGTGTTGGAAGAGGGAAACATCTAAAACATGCAGGATTGTGGCCCTCGAGGACCAGGATTGGGCACCCCTGCTCTACAGGATGCACTGGCCTTTACAGCCACAATAGTAAAGTGTTGGACAGAACAAACATGGCAATGATGTAGTCATTCTAAAAACCAGTCATGTCCCTCAACATGTAAAGTCAGTCCTGAGACTGGTGCTAGAGGAACAGTAATGGGGTCAGGAAAATATAAAGTGTTTATCCTCTGAGGAGCAGAAATCTAATCAAGATATTTCATGGACAACTGACCAGTAGATTTTGATATTTAATGTAAACAGAAGAATAGGCCATGGGGGACAGGAAAACCAGTACAATCAACCTATCAACACTTAAAGTGGTGTCATCTCTATTCTTGTAATACAAATGTATTAAATGACAGTGTCAAGGGGTTTGCACATAGTGATGAACCCACAGATAATTATCAGCTGAATGTGCAGCTACTGTCTTTATGGCAAGTACAGCGAGTGTCAAGTCTTTGTTCAGCTCTCACTGCTCTCATAGCACCATTTTCTGCTGCTGCAGGCAATTTATTTCAGAAAAAAACTATAAAAACTCCCTGTACACTAATGCTCAGCCTCCAGCAGCAGACAGACATGGACTAGCTGGTGAAGATAGTAGAGCATGTTGCATATACTCCCCTCAGGAGATGGTAGAGGCTAAAAACTGAGCTAAAAGATGGTAAATAATGGACTTATATTCATCCGGTAGATACAAAAATCCTTACTTACCTCCATTACTGCTAGATGTGAAAATGAGCCACTATTTGGTGACAACTTCACAATACCAACTTAAAGTGTTAAGATTTGCCAGCGTCACATTCACAAGTTAGTTTTGATTCTTTTGGTTAGCTTGGATTTGTGACCATCTCATACAGATCATAATATCCTGAGTTAACTCACTGAGGATTTCACATATCTCAGGCCACTCTCTCTGTTTCTCCAGGATGAGCCTGAGTTTGGAGCAGATGTAGACATCGCTGACATAATCCAGCAGAATCCGGACCACGCTCCCCGACAGATGCTTGAGGCAGCATAGACTCATGAACTCACAGAACTGGAGAGAAGATGGACATTCAGAGGTTTATTTTGATAGCTCTACAGATGGCACACAACTCATTTCTATAAAAATTGCTCCCGAGATCAGGGGTATCCAATCCTGGTCCTCGAGAGCCACAGTCCTGCATGTTTTAGATGTTTCCCTCTTCCAATACACTTGATTCAAATGATCAGCTCGTCATCAAGCTCTGCAGAAGCCTGATAACGACTCGGCCCTCGAGGACCAGGATTGGAGACCCCTGACCTAGATCCTTGTTGGGCCCAGGTGCATTAGCATCCTTCCCCAGGTGAGCCAGATGAGAACACGTATGGAGAACAAAATGGGAATTATTACCAAAACACTCCACTATTGCCTTAAAGAAAGCAAGGAAGTACGAGCACTCACAGGAATTTTCCCCTCCACATCATCTGCAGGATCAAACGCATTGTCATGGTGACAGTGAAAACACTGCTCCACCTTGTAGCCGTTGTTTAGCAGCAACCTCATCATCACCTCGTCCTTCAGGCAGTACTGCAGCGCTGTGGGAAACACTGTGTCACTTACTACCGTGAAGTAACAGTTCACGTCTGCTTTTGCTGCCAGCAGCAGCTTCACAATCTCATAGCGGCCTGACCTGACCGCCACCAGGAGGCAGCACAGTGGGTCTAGGTCTGTTTTTGCCCCTGCTGCCAGCAGGATTTTGGTGCACTCTACATCCCCATTGGAGACAGCAAAGTACAAGGCACTTCTCCTCATGTCCCGGTAGTTTTCAGAGTTTCTGGTGTTCATGCGGTAGTTGACGTCGAAGCCGCAGGCCAGCAGATGATGCAGACAGTGCATGTGACCTCCCTCTGCAGCAGAGTGGACCGGGCTCAGACCCGCCTCTTTAATGGCCTTCTTATTGGTCAGTGGGATCAGCATTTTTAGAGCACTGTGGTGGGAAAATAAGAATACCTGAGTTTAGAAAAATAGCAAAAAAGTAAAGGTTCATTATCAACAGCATTTAATATGGAAAAAATCCTGCATTCTGATTCAGTTAAACTCTTCATGTCAAGTATGACTTTGTCACATGTGAATTTTCAGCATCGACCAATAGCAAGCAATCTTGACAGAGCTAACCTTTGACAGACAGCTGAAAAATCCAAAACCTGTCAGTTTGCACGTTTGCTAGAACTGACAGCAAATGTGAAGGACAGAAAACAGTCCAATACAGACAACTTAGAAAGGAGCTCGTGTGACTGACTCCTGGCTTGCTAAGATATTAGCCGTTGTCTGGTGCGGCCAATTTTGGGAAGATGTGCATATGAATTTTGTTGTGTGACCAGGCCTTTAAGTCCCACCTGTACAGCATCCTTTACAGGCAGCAGACTTCATTACAGCCCACAGTGTGAGATATGCAACTCACTCGTAGTGTCCGGCATACGCTGCCTTGTGGATGGGCAGATGTCCAGTGACACTGGGCAGGTTGGGGTTAGCTCCATTATCCAGCAGCAGCTGAATGCAGGAAGTGTTTCCTGACCCAGCCGCATCCAGCAGGACGCTTTCGCCATTACATGCCTGAGAGTTTACTCGACTACCTGAGTGGGGGGACAGGTGTGTTGAGGAGAAGTCAGGGAACCACATGGCTCACACTGTTAGAGCTAATCAAGTGAAAAAAGGCCTTACCATGGAAATTGTTTTATTTTAGTGTTTTGTAATATACTACATTTTAATATTTGGCAAATTTGTCATGAATTAACCGTCTCCACAGTCACCACACCTGCACTTAAAGTTCTATCATCAGACTGACCACAATTCAGCAGAATCTCAGTGATGTGGAAGTGTCCGTGCTCTGCAGCCACAGCCAGCGGTGTCACTCCAGTTGCGTCTTTGTGGTTTACCCGGCCACCGTTTCTCAGCAGCAGCATCAGGATGTCCCCGTTGCCAATCCTGGCTGCCTCATGCATGGCTGTCCACCTCTTCCGGCAGACCTGCTCCACCCAGGCACCATGAGCCACCAGTGTGTAGGTCATCTCATAAGAACCAGCCCTCACTGCTGCACAGTGGTTACAAAGAGGGTTTAATCAGCAAGGAACTATGCTGAGTGAAGTAGCTACAGAAGAAAGTTGAGAAAAAGTTTTAAGCTCAGCTCAACAGCAAGACTTTACCCCAAACCCCACACAATAGTACCTAGAAAGTACAGATACTGCCCTTGCATAGGAGTCTGCAGTTAATTGTATTTTCTCATCTTTGTTATCATTATTATTCTTGGTCAGTTTTTTACACAAAAAAATGAGCTTTTGTCATTATTTACACTCCAGAAAATATAATACACTAACTTGTGATTTAAAACCTTACCAAAGTAAATAGAATGAGGCTGTAGCTGTTGAGCTCTACTAAGCTACTCTAGAAGGACTATATCAGGGTTTTAGAGAATGTCATTTCATCTAAATGGATATTTCTAATTTACAGAACATAACTCAGGGAAAAAACATTCAGCAAACTCAGCTCTAGTTGCAGTTTAGGCAAGCTGCAGCAGTCAGAGGCTCACTCTCCATTTCCTCTGCAAGGCAGGAAAGGTGCAACCTGTCTCAAAAAGCCACTGGCTTGGCTGTGAATATTTTTCCCTTCAAATTCATGTGATAATCATTATATTAAGACAAATTACAGGTATCATAGGGAAAAATGTAGTCTGCGCAAATTTGCAGACCAAAATGAGCTCTTAGTAATGTTGGGTGTTACCTTCATGGTATCACTAAAAGTCTGTAACTATGTTTCCATGTGCTTGTCAAGCGATTTGAAGCAAACGTGACATGTGCCAAACAAAAAAAAAAAGTATCAACCTTATTTCCATTAACTGCATTGTGGTGTACGAATTAGGCTGTACTATGTCAAGAGATGTTGGCTGCATAGTCTACATTATACATGGCTGTAAGAAACTGAGTAAAAAACTAAAGAAGACACAAAACCTGTTGTTTGACAACCACCAAAAAAAAAAAAACTATGAGGAAGAAGCAACAAAACTTTGGTCGTCTACATGGGAAAGTGGAAAAGAAGTCTTACGGAGTTGTTTTCAATCCAAAAAGTTGTAATTAAGGTTTCATGTCAGCTAGTACTGGTTATGTTTCATGCTACCCAGAGGTGAAGATAACAGAAGTGTAAACAGCTGATCAGTCATATGAGTTAAATGTTCACTATGTCAGAACTGTTTTTGTTTTGTTTGTTTTTTTATTCTTAACCTCAAACAAGATTTTTTTTTTTTTTTTTTTTTAAATCAGAGTTTTGCATTTTCCATTAATTTTTGCTCATACTTCAAAATGCAACATCTTTTCGCTGAATGTTTGGGTTTTGTGACTAGAAAGCTTGTACTAGTGTTAACCCCTTTAAACCTTGAACTAAATAAATCTGTTTGTTTTCCACCTTGGAAATGGAACCCAACCCTTTCACAATACAGCTTTAACTCTGGTGCCACCCTCAGGACAAACTTTACCTAATTACCCACTACTAACAAAGATGTCTCCATTTTTCAACCGACACTTTAGTTTCCAGGTGTGCAGGGATGACCGCTTCTTCACTGGACCACACAGTCCTGCTTCTATACAACTATACAACAGCAAATACTCTTTGAGGGAAATGTAATCCTGACCAGATGACTACCTATTAGTAATGATTAACCTATTTGGCAAAATGTAAATAGGTTGGCACTGAAAGCATTAAAAATGTCACTGTTTTTGTCTGCTAACATATTGCTTAGTTGATTATTACAACATATTGCTTGCAGCACAACATCCACATTATCAAAATCATTCTGGTTTTGTTTTCCATTGGCAGCACTTCTTTAAGTTGGAGAAACATGGTCATCACTAACTCTACAGTACTACCCAGCAGCAGTGGAGACTCGTTCTTGCTGTTGGTGTTGTGAGGCGAGGCTCCGTGCTCCAGCAGGCTCTTCACATTCTGCCCCAGGCCTGCTTTGACTGCCAGTGTCAGCGCCGTCTCTCCACCCATCACTGTCCTCTCCTCCAGACTGAGCCCCTGAGCTGCCACTAACACAAACACAACACCAAGATCAGTGAAAACATTCCTGGACTTCATATCTAACTCTCAGCTGTGCTAACCTGGCAGGTGAGCCTGTAAGCCACAGACACCTCGCGCCTGGCTGACTTCCAGGATGAATGAGCAGGGATCGACATCAAGGGGTTATTTTAAACTTCTGCTGCCAGCTGCCATCAACTGGAAGTTGAATATTTTTCAGGCAGCCATTTTTTTGGTAATGCTGCTGCTCCTGTCATTTCACCTGCATGTGTCGTTTTTCTTTCTTTATTAAAGGTGAGGCTACATTTCCACCATCTGCTCTTCTGTCTGGTTAGCACCTGACTGCTTCATCTGCAGTTTAAGGCCAGGATTTGATCATCAGGACTTGTTTGTACAATGTGTTGTCAACAATTGTTGTTTCAATCTGAGCACAGGTTCCACTGAATTGCAACTGGAAGCTGGTTTAAGCTTCCATATTTCTGATTGTCTGATTCAGTCGACCATACTAAAAAACTAATACCAGACTTAAAGAATGACTATTGTGTACAGTTTACAGAGTGTGTTTATCTTTATATTGTTGTTGTGCTTGTGATTTTTGCAAAAAATATTAATGAGTTTGCAGTATTACTTACTATGATTGTCAAAAGTTTTGACACACCCTCTCAGTCAAAGGGTTTTCATTAGTTTGACTGTTTTCTTTGTTGTACACATAACTGAAGACATTACAATCTTAGAATAACACTTGTGGATTTAAGGCCAAAAACAGCAAATGAAGCAGAAATATGTTTTAATTTTTACATTCTTCATAGTAGCCCCTAGTTAATCTTAGCCATAAAGATCTGCATTTATACCAAACTAATGGACTCACATCTCAAGACGGTGTCCAGAACTTCTGCGACCGGCTGAGATGCAGCTCGATGGAGGGGAAGCCAGCCATGACTGTCCGATTCCCTGAAGGCAAAGGTGTGTCCCAGCATCTCCCTGAGCACCAAGACCTCACCTGATCACCACAGCAACAAGACAACAAGCAAAGTAAGAGGGATGGATCAGAAAAAGAAACAGAGGCTCTGTTCTGCACTTTCTCTGAAAACTCCTCTTCCAGCTCTCCCTTCTCTCATTAAACTACAGCTCTCCCCCTCTCTCTCTATTTATCTTCCTCTCTCTGCCCAGCTGCAGACCTCCTGATCTTCATCTACAGTTACTGGTCGTATGACTTTGGCTTTTGGCCTCAAAGGAGAGCCAGCACACTGAACACAAGGACAACGCTCTGTGGTAATGGTGAAGGTATGCTAAACATGATGTCAACCCACCTTGTTCGATGGCTGCCAGGACTCTGAGGTTTTCATCAGTTGCTGCTGCTAAACTAACAGTCCAGAGCAGAGAAGGTAAAGGGCAGTCAGCTGGCTTTTATTAAATGTGTTTTCTTAAAGAGAATTGTGGATAGGGCTTTCGTACCTGGCTGTGGATTTCAGAAAGGCATCTTGGCAAGAGTCTTGAATACTGCGCTGGATGATGTAGTCATTGAGCTCCTCTTCACTGTAATCCTCATAAGTGTTCATCACTCTGCAGGGAGGAGACACTCGATTCCAATTCACGGAACTTGATAAAACCGTAGATTTAAACTGATAACTTAGCATTTAGAGCACAGTTTTAGCACGTTAGTACCAATCAGCCAGGCTTTAAGCTACATTAATGGACTTTTCAGGCTCTTGGGGGCAAGAAGTCTTCTTTTAGGTCTGGTTTTCAAAATGATCAAGATCTTTAGAGCTGAAAGTGACACTGTCTTCACCAGCTAGTCTCTATGTCTGTTTTGTCATGTGGGTTTTAGTTAAGCATTGTAATGTATTTTTGCTGCAATAATGCTGACCAGGCTACTAAATGACAGCAATGTGATGTTAATTACTCATTACCAAAACTGCAAACTAGTGTTGCTCTGCATAATTCCTTATCAGCTTTAATTAAAATGTCCGATTATTTAGCAGATTTTTTCGATCGGTATCCAGTAAGCATGCTTGAAGATTTAAAAAGAAAAACAATAATCATATGAATAATTGATCTAAAATATCCATAGCGTTTAACTCTTGTGCTTCTTGTGGCATCATCTTAACAAAACAAAAGGTAATGTTTAATTTCTTGATTTATAACTTCCTCATAATTCCCATATCAATGTCCTCGTACCTAATTCACAACTAATAATAGAGAAAATAGATCGTGTTCTCAAGTGGCAAACTTCCAATTCATGAATTCCAATTAAATGCAGCCTTGAGAGAAGCACACCAGGTCAGCTGAGCATGCATGTGTGAAATATGTCCACAGGCATGCAAACAACTCAATACTGTGCAGTATTTAGAATGTTTCCAATTAATAAATAACAAAGGAACATTTTCTCTATTAAGGAAGTCCCTGTTTTTCTAACAATCAGTACCGGATTTCAATATTCTTTTCAGGAAACTTAATTGACTTAATAGACTCATAAAAGCATTAATTGCAAAGGTAAAATACTATAAGCTTTTGTTTCATGCTCTAAACACTATAAGGAGACGTAAATCACAAGCCAATACAAAATAAAGCAATGAAAGATAACAACAAAGCCAGCACCTTTAAATGACCAATCGTGTGTTATGTGTCCCTTGCAGACAGAACAGCGTATCATTTCTTACTAAAAAATGCACTCAGTTACCACAATAATCACAATTCTGACACAAGCACCTAACCAAAGATCAAATCAAATACCTGTATATGTATGCAGATGAAGACTTCTCACCTGCCAGGTATGTTAGCAGCCGACATTGATGGGTCAAACTCTACTAACAGCACGCAGTGTTTTTATATTTAGGCGTGACCTGCTTTCAGATGCCTCGCAGCCCTGCCTGCAGGAGCCCATCGGAGGGGCGTGTAGGCGACATCTGGCCGGCTGGTCTTAAATATAGCCAGGTTACATGTGCTATTGTGTTCGCTAAGCCAGGTCTTTGGTGCATTTGGCGGGAATCCCACATTCAAGATCCCACAAGCCTGTGGGGCTTATGCTGCTTACTCATGTAGCCACCAGGTTCACCGTCTATTGTTTCATGGAAAGCAAAATCAATCGGATCTATTTTTTCCTCCGCTGCTTTGTTTAAGAAATATGAGATAGTGACTGTCCCATAAACTGTTGGCCGAGTTAAAGCAAAAACCTCATTAAAGCTGAGCAACCGGGCAGCGGCAGAGCTCCATGCCATCTCTGAGTCCAGCCTTTAAATCTTCTTTTATGAGGAGACATTTTTGTAATTGTTTCCTGATGTGATTTTTAATAGACTGGTTTTGTTTTCTTAATGACTTTGGCTTATCTCCGCTATTGCTTTGTTTAATTACCTTGCTTTTGGCATCTTGACATTGGAAAAATCGTGGAAATTTAAAATTCAAAAGATCAATCATTAACTTTGTTTCCTCAATAGTTAATGGAAGACTGACAGTTCAAGTACAAATTCTCTGTACCGCATATCTAGAGGCGAAAGAGACCCATCTTCTGATTAACACACCCAGGAATACTCTTCCAACCACTCTCTGACCATTTTGCTTGTGTCTGTAAAAAGGAACAACAACAGAGCAAGTAGAAAACTGCTTGTTTAATTGTTTTAACTGTCTTCTCTTGCATGAATTCCACTTTTTATTTATTCACTGGTGTACAACAGAATTGACTTGCAGACAGACAGCAAACGAGAGGTTTATCAATACATCATAAGCAGATCAGATTCAAAATCATTAAAAAATGTATATGAGAAGCACAACCGAAAAGCACTGTCATCGATGCTGTTTCAAGCAGCAGTGGATCAAACGACAATGTTCAAGGTGAAAACGGTCGGTTACTGTCACTCTATAGCTTTGTGAATTTTTCCAGTCTCTTTTAAGTTTTTCTTACGCCTCTGGCTTCTATAGTCTGTGAATTTACCGTTTTGATAGCTCAGACAACTGTTAAGAGACTAACTGGTAGAGAAACGGAGCCATCTAGCAGTAAAAAAAAAAAAAGCCAGATATTACAGGCTCAAATCTATTATGCTGTTTTGAAAAAATTGTATTGCATCATATTCTTTTCTTCTTCACTGTAATAAAGTAAGAAAGCGCTGAGGTGGTGTTGAGCAAGACGCACGACCTCCAACTCCAACACAAAGTCTGCAAACTGACGCAATATGTACTGAATATGTAATCAGTCAAACAAGATTTATTTCAGACCAGAAAGACCAAGTCCCACGTTAAAAATGTATGCGTTAGCAGCTCAGGTCCCACAGTCTGTTCAAGTGTCTGACTGTGATCCGGAAAAACCGCTAACATGACAGGCAGACCTCTGCGGGATAAACGAATACCTCTGTGTGACAGGTTTACACCGAGGCCCCACTTCTCCTGCTCAGCTCCACTTTGTGTGATCTCCAGGAAGCCAGCAGATGTCCAGCAGCAGATTAGTGGAGCTTTACAGGGGCCACTGTGTCGCCTCTTCTGACACACAGACTGAAATAGGACAGTATAGCTCAACATACAGCTTCCATACTGTCACTGCACAGAGAGGGAGGTTGTTCAACAACTCAAACAAGGCCGCTGCTCATCCTCTCAGCGGCACAACCAGCTTTTAAAGTTTTGATGTGTCAAGGTTTGAACTGTCCGTGTTTGTGTAGGTGTTAATGGGTACTTCATGACTGAGTGTAAGTTTCTGCATCCTCAGCACAGTACATACCAATGCTTGTACAATTCACTTGGCTTGTTTTGCTGCTCTCATTTCATGAATTCTTGCAGCTTTTGGTACCACTCCTACTTACCTTCCACATGTGCGGATGAGGCACTACCATTAGTTTTGCTAGACGTTTTAGGGGATAGCTCCAAATATTAAACTGTTCCCTTGTGATGCAGTAATGAGAACATACAGTTTAGTTTTGTGGAAGCTTTGTGACGTTTATCAAGACGTTGACAAGGTCAAGCAGCGAATGCTTTTACTGCAGCAGCTTGTACCATCAGTGTGTAGTTTTTTTGCTTTGTTTTTGTTTTTTTGTTTTTTTTTGGAAGGATAAGACATTTAAAAATTGAGCTAAATTCTAGTAAATGTTTACACTAACTTTTACATCACTTCGTTCATCATACTGAACTTCTAATGCCAACATGTCAACTTTTACAAATACAGTTTCAACCTGTGTGAAGGTTTGCAGGGTGTTTCATCTAGTTTTAAAGAGCTACAAGAATTTAAATTCTCCACATGTCCAGTTTTAAACAGTGTGTATCATTATAATCACACATACTGCATGCACCACAATACATTATCAGCCAAGCAAAGTTCAGCATTGGCTGATAAAAATTCAATTAAATTCAATACAAAGAAACTTGATTTGTCCCCTGGGGGTAATTTAAGAAATGCAGAGCAGTTGGATCAACAAAGGGGGCCAGGTGGATTGAACATAAATAAGTTCAGTTCAATGTCCGTGATGTATGGAGTATGCAATGTGTCCATGCATGGGGAGAGAGCAGGGACAGAAGAACCATGTCATCTCCATATTTCACCAGATGACAGTTTGGTGGGTGGACCTGCATGTCATCAGTACAGAAAGTAAAGCACATACATTGTGTAAAATAAGAATGACCTTAATAACTGCATATTGAAAATATATATATTTGTGGAAGCCAATACATTCTTCACATTTAATTTAATCATATTTGCTGATTCAAAATCAAACAGTGATGATATTAGCTCTTTTTTGTAAGTCAAATATCACGTGATGTATTTAAAAATAGGCAGCAGAAATGAATTGCAGTAGAAACTTATAGTGTGGTCAGGCGCAGTGGCACATCCGGACAATTTTTGCAAATGTGACCAGGCTAAGACCATTAGTCACATGGGGGGGCACGTGAGAACACATATACAGTATAAAGAGCTTTTATGTGACCCTCAATCTGTTGTGCTCTTTTAATTGCTGATAAAGGTCAGTGACATTCTAAATTACATAAGGACATGTAAGACTTTTATGTCAGAAGTGTCCACATTCTGCTCAGAACACCCACATAATTAAGACATCACATTGTCTTCATCCAGACTTTTCTTTCTTTCTTTTGGCTGCAGGTTCTGGGTCAGTCTTGACTTGTTCAACATGTGTACCGCTTCACTGCTGCAGTCTTTAAGAGTCTGTAAAAGAGTTTTGACTAAATCCACAGTTTAAACCTAAATCATGCTCAACAAAGGAAAATGTGTACAAAGTGACCCTTTATTGAGGCAGATGTATTTTTTTTTATTGTCTATACACTTAACAAGGACAACAGTAAAAAAAATCTTTGAGTTGCTATAAAAGCAGAGGAATTATTTTTTGGCTGGCTCCTCACCTGGTCAGACAAGGTTTAGGATCATGATAGTTTCTAAATATAAAATATAAATGTATATATGATACCAACCATTGCCATACCTGGAAAACTTAACTACATCATAAATATTCCTTCATGTCTTTTCCCCACTACGTTACTTTAAATTATTATTAAAATAACATTTATGTTTGAGAACTTTAGCTATTGAGAATAAATCAACATATAGTGTGTGCATCAAATCACAATAGAATTGTCCATAAACTTAAAATGTGTTACTTTAGGCTAATAATTTTAATTAGAAGTTTATTTAAATAAAAAATCATACTGGTATTTTTTTTTTTGTATATTACTTTCACTATAAAACAAAACAGCAGAAACATAACAATGAAAGAAAATACAGCAAACACAAGAGATCTAACGTCAATATCATCGTTAGAAAACACAGACGTCAGGATTTCACAAAGACAAGCAAACAAGTAAATTAAAATAAAGGATTAAAAGATACATCCATGCAATTTTGTTATGGATTTGTTGTGAATATATTCAATTTTATCATATTCATATCACATTATATTCATATTATATTTCTTTAACACAGAAAGTGACGTGCATTGGTCGCTATAGCAACGTGTACACTTTAGCGTTACCTAGACAACAAACTAACGTTAGACAGCGCTGTTTGCTGTGCTGTTAGCTTCGCTGTTAGCTAGCTCCAACTCTTGTTAAATAAGGAAAATAAAACAGTAACAAGGCTTAAAAGAAGGGAAAAAAAGAAGCTGACGGTGAGCCAATTCTTCACTGTGTTGACAGATTTACGGCACGTTTATTAACTTTAACTTTAACTTTAGTTTAGCTCCAGTTAGCAGCATAGCCGGCCAGTCTAACCGGCAGTTTCACCTGGAATGTCGGAACAAAGTCTAAATGAAGTACAGGGGGCGAAAGAAGAGGAGGAGGAAAACACGGGAACTAACAGCCAGCCAGGTGGAAGGACTGCAGAGGAGCCGCCAGAGGAGGACAGAGAGCCGGGGAGGGAAGCAGAGGAGCAGCGGACCGCCGGCTCACCTCCAGGTGGGTCCGGGTCACTGGAGGTCATTAGCAGGAAACACAGTAAGGAACTGCTTCAAACCTTTGTCAGGTATTTTGTCTTGTCAAAGCAGGAGAATAAGAGAGGAACTAATCCCAGTAATGATGGTTCTGCTCTACTCAATGTTTGGAGTATTCTATAGCGGCAGCAAGGGCTGGAAAAAACGCAGCCATTATTCATGTTGTTGTTTGCATTTGTACCTTGTATCCTGCTGTGATGTGCTGCGGATTGTGATACAAATCAGACTATCCCAAGACCTACTCACTGCATGTTTTCATGTATTTTTATTTCTGAATTGAAACACATTCAAATCCAGATAAAAACACTGTAAAACTGGAAGGTAAAGAGTTTGAGTCTTCCTCTAAAATCCCCTAAAATAAGTCAAAAACTTTGAAGTGCAGCTTCATAACACTTACTTTATCACAAATCAAGAATGTCTGAGAGGATTTTATTTACATTCAGATGTGTCTCATCTTTTCATATTATGTGTCAGGTCTTCCATTAAAAAAAATCTTACAGAATCTTTGTCTAATAACTGAACCACAAGTTAAAAATAGTTTATGTGTATTGTTTTATAATGATTTCTTTGTCACTAAACAATGTATGGAAAGGTTTGGCAGTTGCTTGGTTTTTAAGGGTGGTGCTTATATTTGAGAAAACATAATCTGATAATAATTATAATAAACATGTATTCTAGATTTTTGTTTGAACCAGTTTGATGGACCAGTTGGCAGGCAGGTTACAATTCAGGTGTGTTTGGTGTGATAACTTTTTGGACTGTGCAGATGCGCTGGAGACTGTGGAAGAAGCTGAGACACAGGCTGATTTGCTCGATGATGCTGAGCAGCCCAAAGAGCCCCAGATTGCTGAAATAGTAGAAAATGTTGGAAACTCCACAGCTACAGGTGAGACTTCAGGGCAATTTAAGAATACCTGAACTGGACCCTAAACCACCCTAAATATCTCTTATCACCAAAACATGTACTTGCAAAACTTTACTTATAAATGTTTTTGTTAGTAGATTTACTTGTTTTTATTTAGATGTTCGACTGCTTCCATCCATCCATTATCTATACACCGTTTAATCCTCACGAGGGTCGCGGGGGGGCTGGAGCCTATCCCAGCCGACTTAGGGTGAAGGCAGGTGACACCCTGGACAGGTCGCCAGTCCATCGCAGGGCTTGTTCGACTGCTTTATTCAGTATATTGTCCAAAAGAAATTCAGTTAATTTTGACTCACTCAGCCTGCTCTGTTCGCAGTGTGACTTGTTGTCGTTAGTCACAGATCATTCATTTTATTTTCAGTCTGGTATTTTTGTAAATTGAGAACATATGAAGGCCGGATAGAAACATAGAAAGAGAATGCAGATCTTATTTGTGCATTCTGGGATTATCAAAGATTTGTGGATGAAGCGTCTGGAGTGAAGTACCTGCTGTTCCTAGGTAACCTGACAGGATTTATACAACATGAGGATCGATGTCTCGTTAGAGCTTTATTAACAACAACCAAGACAACAATCTCAAAGAAATGACCTCAAGTAAACTGTATAGGTTTAAGGCAGTGGATGGACACTGTAGGTTTATGAATAACTCATGTAAAACTAACGGTCTGGTACTTTAACAATTTGAGACTTTAAGAAATGAAAACAATGGACTGATTAGAAAACACGTCAGAATGACACGACTGCATCACATTTTAATGAATGAAACGATGATTATTTTTGTACTGACTTTGTGAAAAGCACTATAATTCCAATTGTTGTACACAGGCTGTCATGATGTCAGAAAGTGTCTCTGTGTGGTTGCAGTGAAGGTGGTGCTGGTGCCGGAGGGTCATGTGATGACTGTGGCTTTTGCCATCGGTCTCAGCATTCAGGAGCTGAAGCGTCACCTTGCCTCAGAGCTGAGAGTCCCTGTGGAGGTGCTGCAGGTCTCTCTGGACGGTATGTGCCTTCTCTACCTTCTAGTGTTTAAAGAATTGTGAGAGTGATCCCTTAATTGCGGCACCTCTCTATCCCAGCCTGATACTTGTCAATGAAAGCAAGCACAACCATAACAGACACGCAAGAGTTTAAGACCATCGCTTCTCACACTGTCACTCTCTCATGCTTACTGTTGGAAGGCAGAAAATTTTAAAGCCACTGCAACTCACCTGCCCACCTGAAGCATGAACAGACTATTTTTATTACTTCATCTGTTCATAACAACACCATCAGTATTTCATGTTTAAAAACTCAGTTTCTACATACTGTTCTGGTGTATTGCAAATAAACTTAAGAGCAAAAATGTTTCATCATTATTTGGATTTGACTGACTTGTTTGACGGATCGATGTCACCACTTTTCTCTTTTCCTCCATCACAAAAATCTGCCTTTCTTGTTCTTTACTTGGGTTTTTGCTTCGGTTCACGTCACAGTTTTCCCGAGCTCATACAAATCACCCTGCTATGGCTCTTTGCCCTTGTTGCCAGTCCCACAGTTTGGAAACACTGCCTTAGCCTCACAAAAATATGCTTTTCAGAGCTACTACAGAAAAGAAATGCTGCTTCATTTTTATTGACTAAGCAGCATAGTTTACCATATTTTCTCAAGTAGTTCCACATGCACACTCATCCTTGGCTGGGAGTTATTCTTTTACATAGACTCTGCAGCTAAACTTCACCAGTCACAGTTTGCTGCTTTATGTTAAGATAGATCTTCACAGAATCCTTTAAACATCGTGTACGCATGATAGGTCAGTGTGGGATTGTTTTTCAGGCAGAGTGGTAGAGGAGCAGAAGAGCCTGATGGAGCTGGGCGTCCGGCCTCACAGCTCCACCCGGATGGAGATGAGCTCCACCGATCCAAGTTCCCACCCGCTCCGCCCTCTTCGGCCCCCAGAGCATGATAGCATGAGGGATGTTATTACTGTGGAAGTCATCACAGGTATGAACACACAGTCCTATGCACTGTCGTCTGCATACTGAAAGTGTGTCAGCTGGATGTGAATCTGGATGCCCCTCTCATTTAAATGAATGATTGAAGTGTACAACAGTTAGCCCAGGGCAAATATCAGGCTGTGGGGGGGGGGAAAAACTGCAACAAAAATATGTACAGCTTATGAATATTAACATAAGCTGCTGTAACTCTGCTAGTTCAAATTAACTAATGAGTAAAGTCACATCTGCCATCAGAAAGTCATACAACATGTCATGTAAATTTGTTCCATTTCCAAAATAGATGTACCATTCATCAAATAAAACCAACAAAATACACCCCTGCATCTCCACAGCAACGTAAAAATTAATTTACTTTCATGGTCAGTTAATACTCTTAATGTTGTTGCAGAGGTTTTTCCTATACCGCACCATTTTGGAGCAAAAAAATGTCTTCAAATGAAAATATGAGAACCTTGCTTGGATTTAGAGGCTGAAGTGGCCCACTGGGATAATTCTAAACTTTGACTGTTTAAATAATTGATATTAATCATTCTACTTCTTCTTCTTCCTCTTCTTATTTTTCCTCTCATTTGTAATTACACATTGAATGTAAAAGATATATAAACTAGCAGTTAATAGCACAGCGCAAAACAAAAAAGGAATCTGAAATCAACTATTTGTACAATGGATAAATGCACTTTATGGAAATTCAATTATTTGCTGACGAATGTATTTGTTAAATGCATTTATTATGCTGATGTGTATTAATCATGAATGTAGAATTGATCATGATGATTAATGACAATGATTAAATAACTAATTTAAGGTATTGTTAAACACTGTCAAACACTCATAACTGGGAACAGGGTTAGGTTAAGTTTAAAAAGACAAGGGAGTGGAGACGGGAGGAAGAGTTTTGTAGAGCCTGTGATTCTCTGACTGCAAACTCTGACAGCATATTCATCTCTGAACCATAGCCTGTATAAAAGATGGATGTAGCTACCGTGA